TTGCTGTATTTCTTGACAGTTGGGTGAATCCCGACAGTTAGCTACAGACATTCTCGACAGATGACAGATGGCATTGTCCTGCCAGACGAGTGCAGTCATCTGTCGACACAGGCTTCAATGACAATGTCTCGACACATAACTGTGGGCACTGACGACATTACACGTGCGTTTAGAAATAACATGTCTGTCGAACATTCATATCCCATTACCGCACGTATTTTCGCACATTCAAAATATTTTTAGTAACATTTTTTTGAGTTCAACATTGCATGCACAATTCGACATAACATGTGTGTTGCAGTTTGGGTAGATGATCTGTTCTTATACGTTTCTCGTATTACTTGTTCCGATTGATGTGGTTGTATGCTCTTCAGTAGTACGTTTGTTCTTTGAAATATTCATTTGCTGTTGAATTATGGTATGACCATTATTGTTTCATCTGCAGGATACATGGAATTTCAATTTTGGGTGCTTGAGAATACACAGTTGCCCGTGCACATCTCTCAACGGAGCAACCTGAAGTACATTAAAACGGTGATCGAGCACTTGGACGATCGACTGCGGGCTGACTTTCGCAACTCCTGCCTTGGGTTTCTTGTTGACGTTCCTGAGATCTAGTTTTTCGCTCAACTAATCCAGACACTTGTGTGCCGAGGCATCCGTTCCGATAAGGCGCACGAGTTGTGGTTCAACGTGCAGGGCCACCTTACCCGGTTTGGACTGCAAGAATATGCTATCGTCACTAGACTGCATGCTGGCTCATTTTTGGAGGACAATCGGTACACAAAAGCATTGGAGAAGAGGAGGCTGAAGGAAAAGTATTTCAAATCATTGGAGAAGATTTCATGTTCCCAGTTGGAGAAGACCTTTGTCCGCGTGTCGACACCCCGGGCAAATAGATACAAGCTCGGGCTTGCTCTGATTGTGGAAGGAGTTATCATTGCTCCAGACAATAATGTTGGCATTGATGAGGACACGTTTTCCCTCGTCGACGACTTGGAGCTGTTTTTCCTATCCCTGGGCCAAAGTGGGGTATAGATGTTTGTTGAAGGAATTTCGGGGTACTTGGGCACGTAAAATGAGCGATGCAAAGATGAAGAACGAGAAGGACGTCAATTACCCAATTCAGGATTTCCAATTGCCATGCAAGCAAGAACAGCATTAAGTTTATGTTTTTTGTTTGTAAGTATTCGAACAATTTTCTACATTCTTTGGATGGATACTTATGTGACAAATTTTTTCTTTCTGTCCGGACAGATTTGGGAATATGAGGCCGTACTCGAACTCGGCGAACGCTTCGATCAGCGGGTGGGTGAACGATCGCCCCGGCTTTTGTGCTGGACCTCTACCAAACAAACGCAGCAGCGTACGTACGATGCGTTCTTCAGGGACGTACAGGTCGTGGACATTTTTAATTTGCCTTTTACTTATTTTGTTTTGTTGGGAATACTACGCAATATATTTTAACTACCCGTTCTCCCCTGTTTCTACAGCTGCACGTGCACGCCATACTACGTCCCACGGAGGCCGAGCGTGATCTCTCATACATTGCCAGTTTGGTGCCGTTCTCCGAACGTTCGGTGTAATTTTTTGACGACATCGCTAGGAGTGTTGTTGGGCCACAGTTCCATGAGGCGACATCGACCAGTGGGGGACATGATGGTAGCGCTACGGGTGACGGCCATGACGACGAGTCCAATGCAGGGGCTGAGGACGATGAGACATCTGCGAGCGATGATCGTTAGACATCGGAGGCCAACGACGACGATGGGTCTACGGATTATGAGAGTGGAGACAGCAGTCGCGATACTTTCAGCGAGATCGGTGCTGGTGACACCGAGGACGACGAAGATGCCTTAGGACGGCAGTCGGGTGCATTACACTCTCCAATGGGTGCCCCATCCACATATGGAAGGACGTGGAGGGCATGTTGCTGGACCAGCGCATCCTCATCGAGATGAGGTTGCGGACCGTAAAGCTTGAAATCATTCAGCACGTAACCGACGAGTTTACCAGACCGAGGGACTTTATATCTACCCTGGTGCCCTCGTCCAGTGGCACCTCCACTTCCGCTGCAGCTCATGTCGTGAATGAGCCAAACATTTGGGATGACCCCGACGAAGGTATGAGTTAGTTGTACTGCAACTTCCACTTACAACATTTCTGCAAAGCTGTGCAATTTTTCCTATGTGTTCACTTACAAATTTATTTTTTTAATTGCCCTCCTTGTCCCAACGAAAATTTGCATTCCGCCCCTTAGCCTTTGACTTAGTAAATTCTATTTGTTATTTCTTTGCCTTAAAGGTGAGAAGAATTGTTATTTCTTTGCCTTCACTGAATCCATATAATTCACGAGCTACATCATATTTATGGCATGTATTATTTATGATATATGAAAGGGTTGTTCATTTTTTGGTGATTAGATTGCATGCACGTTTCCTATTCCATGTGTGATTAAATTTTTTTGCTTTGTATGTTGATTGGATGGATAGTTACGAACATTCTGTGCTATGTCATTTTACTTTAGCACACACCTGATGCAAGTAGGCAGTAGATTCATTCGGAGGGTTGATTTTTGAGTTGATCATTTGTGTTGATCGAGGTGTGATGAGAAATTTCTGCAGAATGATCAAGAGTAAAGACAATGAATGCTAAGGCTAAATCAAGAGGTGTAGTGATTAGTACCAAAAAACATCTAAAGGGATCCAAACCTGGGTTCATGCCTGAAGGTACAACTATGGAGACTATTACTCCTATTCCATATGATGTCGTTAATGATCTCAAGGGGGGCTACTAAATTACTTCAATTCCATATTGGGATATGGTTAAGTAGAACGGAAATTGAGACTGGACATTTCTTTGTAGTCTAATTAAATTGATGTTCATGTTACTTGGTGAAGTAGTAGTATTTTATACTTTAATTTCATTGGAGTTGAAGGTGTTATAGCTATGCAAATGATTCATGATATTTAATGATTTTGTGTGTAATGGAGCGTGGTCGAAGTATTGAGGACAATGATTATTTTAAAATTCGCATTAGCGTGGTACGAATAATACGTTGTTATCTTTGCTACGTTGGCCTCAACATTACAACCGGTATCTGTTTATTTCAACATGCGTTTTAGTATAAATTAGCTTGTTCGTACAAATTATAATTTATTTGAACAATAGCTTGTTGTGTCACCCAATGTTCATCTTCATTGGCAGGGACATTAATTTTATCAATTTTTAATGCAATTAAAATGATGTAGAATTTAAAAACTGTATTCAATTATGACTAAGAACTACAAAAAATCAGTAAAGTAGTATAAATTCCAAATTGATTGTCAATCCAGTTGTAGGAACATTGTCATTGCTGGTCTTGTACATGGGTACAATATACTCATAATTCTCACCATTTATGAAGAGAGCTTAGGGGTGAAAGTACACTTACACCATAAACCATCACACCAATGGTCAATCAAGTGTTAAAAAGAAATGAATTGGTGGTTGGTTGCTAAATTGCTTTAAATGTCCTCAAAAACCTCCAGTATATAGCATGACTTACACTTTTGATGTGGGATACATGAAACTCTTTGTGAGGCATCTTGTAGCAGGAACGTATCTCAATATTTTAAGTATGTTTCTTCATATCAAAACTATGGCATCGTCTACGGGAAGCAATTCACCGCTGCCAGTTGAGGAGCCTTTGCCAACACCCGGTTCAACCCGGCAATGTCCCATCGTAATTTCTTCGGACGATGAGGAAGTGAGTTCGAATGGTGGTAGAAGAGTCATCACCGTCGTTCCCTTTCCGAACCTAGATGAAGTTGCAAGTGATGCAGGTGAGTCTCCAAGAAATGTGCTTGAATGGATCATCCCATTTATAGTTGCAGACGAAGTTGAACGTCACGAGGATGAAGGATAGGGTCGCGTTCCATCACCCGAGGTAATTGTCATCAGCTCGGATGATTCGGATGATGACAGTGGGGAAGAAGGTTCAAGTGTTAGCTTCGAGCGAAGTGTCCGATTTTGTTGCGTGTGTGGTTTTCTACGTATGTATGTATAGTGTTTTTTTTGTAAGGGATGGATTTTGTTACGTATGTACCAATTGTATAGCATGTAGGAAACTCCTGTTGGCATGTTATGTGTATTTTGTATTTTGTTAAGCGAACCGTAGAACAACTGTCGAGAATGACAGGCACCATCTGTCGGGAACGACAGTTGAACTGTCGGGGTTTATTCGCAAATTTTCTGTGTCTGTAATATGCATATGAATTATAACATGTATTTTGGATGAACGAACACACCCGCATGTGTACATTCAACGTACTTTGTGAACAATGCCAACAGTGTTATATACTAAAAATGATGTGTTCGTAATATGCATATGAAAGGAAACAAGTATTTTGGTTGAACGTTTCCTATTCTGTACATTCAATTTACATTTGTGAACAATGACAACAATGTTATGTACAACAAAATTATATTTTGGTTCGAGGGTGTTATGCAGTACGTTGTGCCTATTTGCGTACTGTAATTGTGAACATAAGAAAGAGTATTGTTTATGCGTAAGAGAATGAAAACAATATTACAATATTTATTTACATTGTCATAAATAAACGACATCGAGTGAACACTTAACTTACAACTTCAACCACTCACGTACAAAATGCTGTTTACATTGGACGTGGTACAGTGGGGTTCGAACATGTGGTCCGGTTATGACCAAGTCTACCGCAGCAAGTGCATTTCCTCAGTCGTGTGGTACACTCGTGTCTGGATCGCTTACGTCGTGTGAGTGGTCTACCTGGAGGACGACGTACACTGGGGGGCATAATAGGAGTACCTGTAATTTCGGCTGGAACAATCCAGTCCACTTCATGCAAAACAGGATATATAGCTTCTCTATAGGCACCCTTCCAGTATTCGGATGTGTAATACGATGAGCATAGATCGTACAATAACTTACCTCTCAAGCAAGCAGCACGGGCTGCGTGAACGCACGACATACGATTCAGTTAGAACTCACGACAAGTGCAAGTGTTTTCGGAGAAGTCTACGATGTCCATGTCGTTGGATATTCCAACTTGTGTTAAGTTATCTGTCAAGCCATGCGCTTGCAGCCTAGTACTTGCTTCGAACGTCGTTCGTAACTCATTCTCCATCATTGGTGACAGTACGGTACTGCATGCGATTGCACTAGCTCGACGTTCATAAAACCACTTATGCATAGTATGCCGAATGTGTTCCACGAAGCACGTGATCGGTAACGAACGGGCATGTCTCAACATCGAGTTCAAAGATTCTATGTTGTTGTTGGTCAAAATATTGTACCGTTGGCCAACAAATAGTGCTCGTGACCAAAATGGAAAATCTGCTCGCTCCAAGTACTCGTACATTCTTACACTTATCCTACGAAGATGTCCCATAAGTCTTTCAAACTCTTTGGTCCGGTAAGTTCTTGCGGCTCTTTTGAATAGAAATATTGAACTTGCGTTGTTGTACCTCTGGATTAAATTCGTTTCCATATACCAGACATAGCACCCGTGGTGAGCCCGAGGAAATAGTTGGGCAATGGCGTTTTCAATACTATTTTTCCTATCGGAAACAAACACCAATTCGTCCGAGTCACCTATAAGATCTTTCAAATTTGATAAAAATCACATCCACGATCTATTCATTTCGGCATCAACGATCCCCGATGCTAACGGATAAATCTGTTTGTTGGTGTCTTGGGCAGTTGTCAGTAGAAGGGTACCTTTGTATGGACATTTCAAGTGACTGCCGTCAACACAAATAACTGACCTCAGGTAGTACACGTAACCCCGAATGCTTGCACTGAAAGCTAGGAAAAAGTAGTAAAACCTGTTACGAGAATCTACTTCGATACGTGTTACTGTCTCTGGGTTACTCTCTTCTAGGACGTGTCAGTAGGAAGAAAGTTTTTGAAAACTATCACCTGGTGTACCATGTAGCATATGTAAAGCAACGATCTTCCTCCTACGTGCTTGATGGTAACTAATTTTCACACCAAACTCACGTTCCATATCACGTACAATAGCGGTAGGATTATCCAATTTCTCCATAATCTGCTCGGCAATTACGGAACTAGTGGTACGTCGATGTGCATTACGATGATAATCTATGGAACATGTGTGCACATTGTTGAATTTGCGGATCACGAAGATGGCAGACTGCTTGACACTCGAAGCACGTAACATCAACTTGCAATTATCGTCCGCGCATACAACTGTTAACTTTTTTAGGCTTGACCTGCTAACTTGAAATTGAAGCTTATCTCCCAAAGCAAGTAGACGAATTCTCGAGTCAACTATTTCTTGGTAAAAAATATTTGCCTCTCGGTAAGATCCGATGTATTCATAGTGGAAATCCAGTCGCATGTATCCGGACTTTTGGAATGTGATAATAGTTCTTCGTCAATGTTAGCAATATTACCAGTATTTGCACCATGTAAAGGGTCGTTGAACATCTCATCTAATGGTGCAGCCCCAACATCGAAAATTGGAGTATCAGCTGCATTATTGTTTGGGACACTATGCTGATGATTGAGCTTGTCGTCCTATACGATTTGGCGATCTTCCACTGCGTCAAACAATTGTTGGTTGTAATTTGTATCCCTCTCCATTTCAACACTTGACAGGCCGGTTTCCAAAGTCGTAACGCATAGAGCAATTTCCTTATGAACTGATATGTATCAATTTACGTCTTCATCTTCGAGTATTTCGGCCGGCGGTATATTCATGTTGGGAACTTTGAACTTCAATTCCATTTTTGTGGGCGGATCGTGAACACCAAGTTTATTGTTCAACCGTAACAATAGCCCCGGTAGTGTAATACTGCTCGGCACTAAAATGGAAGTGGTTTTATCCCCAGTCCACTTCCATTCATCATTCACATGAACGAACTTTCCCCCATATGATACGATGAATCTCAAATTATTGTTCATACCTAAAATATTGGGATTGCAACGATAAGAATTATGCGCAATCAATATGTCGATTATATAATAGCATGGAAGTGACACGTTCGAATATTTAAACCTATGCAATAGTACAAGGTCAAATGAAGGGTGTCAAGAGTTTTTAGCTGTCCAATTCGACAGTTTAGTTATCTATCCCGACAGTTTATAAATGTCGGGTTCAACAGTTAAGATGTCGATCCCGACAGTTTCGAAATGTCGAGTTCGACAGTTCAACTGTCGAAACTGTCGAGAAGCTTCAAATGTGTTTGGTAGCATTAGTGGTTATCATCATTTCTCAACTACAACAACTACAACATCATAACCTATTTCCAAAAATAAATAACTGAATGCTTCATTAAATATGGAATACTTCACATTTTCCTAAATATTTTTGGTATGTTTTTCCTTCAAAAATATTTAAAAAAAAAAGAACATGATGATTAATAGTAGTGATTATCATGTTGTTTTTAACATTTTAAAAAGAGTAAGCTATTACATAAAAATATAAACAATTCGTAATAACTGACCTTTTAAAATAGATGAAGAAGATGGATGAAGTAATATCTTCTTGATCAAGAAGAAAATGGATGAAGAAGATGAATGAAATAATGGTTTGTTTAACAAGAAATTTGTTTTTTTTATGTTGACTAGGGTTTTTAAGGATTTTATATTCATTTTTTATTAACTAAATTCGTATTTTACAATATAATATTCATATATTCAATGATTATAATATACAAATTCAACAATTAAATCACAACATTATTTATTTTGAAAAACAAGAAAGTGACATTTTTGTACAAATTGTGTGCACATCAAAATTTTTTGTGCATTTTCAAAAAAAGTGACATTTTTGTAAATTTCCCATAATCTATTTAGTTAGCCTGATACTATTTCATTTGTGGGTATTGTAGAGTGAAATCTAGGATTAATGTGGATTTGGGGATATCTAAAATTAAAGTTCAGTATGCAACCGTTTCTTAGTTTAGGGTTCAGATTGGGTTAGAAATGCATTGGGTCTGATGTGATGAAAATTGAATTATACCATGGAGAGGAAATTGAATTGGGTCTGATTTTGGGAGAATTGAATCTCATTTTGGGGTTGGAAGAAAAAAATTATTATAATTAAGCCTCCATTTGACCCCCATTTTCTAAAAATGAAAATGGGTAGAAAATGGGGGGAATAATATTTTTTAGAAAAATGAGTGGTTGAAGAAGAAGGAAAAATTTTCGATTTACGTGTAATATTATTTTATGGAAGATTGTGTGGTTGAAAATAGGAGAGAAAAATTGAATGTAATGTAATTGAATTTAATAGGGATCAAACAGGGGCTAATTGAATTTTGGTTCAAGCTGTCAAAACTTTAACACCATAACGTTCACATATTATTTCGATCTGCACATGAACTGATGAATTTTAAATGGGTGGCAAATGATTAATTTTCTCTAAAGGTGAATGAGCAATTGGTAATATTTTATTTCTAATTGAGTAAGTAGTAATCGAAGTCAAAGGTCAGTGGTTGATTATTTAGGGCCCGTTTGGTAGGGATTTCGAGAATTGATTTTTTGACCGTTAGAAGAAAAGTGGGGTCCACATGTGAGAGAAGAAGTCAAAAATTACGGCTTGAATAGTAAAATAACGGTCAAAAAATCAATTTTTTGGGGCAAAAAATCCCTACCAAACGGGGCCTTAGTGCTTATTTGATAGGGATTTTGATAATTGATTTTGTGATCGTTAAAGATAAAAGTGGATATTACTTGTGAGAGAAGAATTTAAAAATGACGACTGAAATGGTGAAATAACGATCAAAAAATTATTTTAATTAACTTTTAAGCTATACCAAATAAGCTCTTAATTAACTTACCTCAATGATTGGACCCCAATGCGAGACAAGTAGTAATGTTCGGGGACGGTGTGAGAATTTGCCTTAAAATAATTTAAAAAACGCATACAAAAAAATCAGAATTAAACGAACCGAGCGGTGCTGACGTCTCTCATACGCTTCATTTATTGGATCCCTCTTTTCGCCTTTCTTCAGTCTGGTAAATTTTTCTGCATTCTCTACCTAAATTGATCATCATCATTAATTTTTTTTTCAAGTTTCAAATTCTTGATGGTATGATTTCTAACATCCTGAAATAATTATATAGGATTACTTCTTTTGCCAGGGTTTTGTTTTCTGCTTATATTTGTGAAGAAAAGGAAATTTGAATCAAATCAGATGGCCGCTCCACCCGCCAGAGCTCGAGCTGATTATGATTATCTCATCAAGCTACTATTGATCGGCGACAGTGGTACGTGTTTTTTACGCACTTACAATTATGACGTATTAACATTCTGACCGAGATGTGTGAACGCGCCTTTAATTCGATATTTGATTTTTGGCTGGGGTTATATTTAAGATCTTTTGATTAATTTTTTGATAGAGTTTTTTGTGATGGGATAGTGTAACACGTCATACGATTTTCTGATAATTTGTGTTTGGCTCATTGGGCAGTTAGGAAAAACATGTTAGATGAGGGTAACTCTGTATAAACCTATATATCTGCTAAATAGTATGGATAAACGCGTGGGGAATTAAATATTTTCAGTTTATTCCTTTGGGGAAAAGATACGCTCTTTAATAGTTAATATGTATGCACATGTTTGAGGCTAGTTGTCTAATGAATCGTTGCAGATTATATGCTTATGTTTGCTGGTATGCATTAGTGTTTTTGAACTTTTTAATTTTTAATACAGATTTAAATCCATAGTTTTTTTTTTTTTTTTTTTTTTTTTTTTTTTTTTTTTGGGGGGGGGGGGGGGGATATTTTATGATTTTTGTACTTTTTGATCACCAAGATACTAATTTAACGAAGAATGACTAGAATTTAAGTTGAGGGAAGTCAACAGGCCATGGATAGTAAATATTCTAAAGGATAAGTTCTGATGCTCTTTGGAGGCCCCAGTAAAAGTTTTAATTGACAAGAAGATGATAAGTTTTTACCTATACTTTAGGATAATTATTCAAATCATGATCTGAGCTAAACTGTACATAAATTATATAAATGAAAAATCTGGATAAGGTTATTGGAGATTTTGTTATCTTGTCTATAAAGTTGTGTTTAACCTGAAATAAGTAAAGCCCCTCTGAAGGTATTCTAGCTGCCCCATTTCGTCCACTTTCGGGAATGAGGATAACTGGTTGTTAATTGTCGGTTGTGTTTGTTATAAAATTGAAACCATTGATTTTGATGACCAATGGCCGTTCAGTGTTTCAGAAGAATGTGCTGGAACTGGGTGATAAAATTTATCTTCGGCTGACTTAAAAACTTGTTGTAATCCTATAATTATTTACTGAACTCCATTTTATTGGAAATAAGGTTTAACATGTTATTGTTGACCGAAGAAACTTTTTCTGCATATCTTTATTATTTTTGCTTCTTATTGGTCTAGTTATTCTGTTTTGTCGTCAGATAATAGATTTTTATGTTTTAATTCTAGTTTAATGTAACTGAGATTTGCCTTCTTTTTTCAATATGTATTTTTCAGGTGTGGGTAAGAGTTGCCTTCTTTTACGGTTCTCAGATGGCTCTTTCACCACCAGTTTCATAACCACCATTGGGTAGATATCTTTCAAATATGCAATAAGTTCCTCCAGTTTGGCTTTTCCTCAATCATCTGCCTTCTGTATCTGGTTCAATTTTGTTATGCAGCATCGACTTCAAGATTAGGACCATTGAACTTGATGGGAAACGAATTAAACTACAGATTTGGGATACTGCTGGACAAGAACGATTCCGAACTATCACCACTGGTATGCATATGATCAATGCAGATTTCTACTCCACTTCCCATCTCATTTCTCTAGAGCACTATTTAATTTGCGTCATGTTCTTGTGCAAAAGCTTTAAAGTTTATAATTGCTGGGGGAATGCTGAAAAACTCTCTCAATGCCTTTATGTCTGTGAGAGTAGAAATTCCTGAGGTGTCTTGTGGATAACCGAGATGAATGTAGAGGAAAGAAAAGATTTTTCTAAAATAATTATATCCCACATACTTCAGGAACCAAATACTGGTAATTGGTGGAAAAAGACTTCTAAACTTTTTTGGGGCAGGCAAAGCAAGAAATCTTCATAGTTGCACTTTATTACTATTCATTCTAGTTTTTCCCTATAAATTTGAAACATGTTACTTTTACAAGTATTTTATTATGGTCAAATTTTCTATTTGCCTATTAATATGCATTTATGTTGTAAAAGAAATTTTGTTCCATAACTAGACTCCAGGGGACTTTTCAATTTGGGAGAATTTTGATATTCAAATTAGCTATGTCATAGACTACATCCATTTTTTGTAGTTTACTCTGTTCTATGGTTCGAGCTTGATGATTGGACATAATCAATGAATCGGGCTAATACGACTTAGCTTTACAGAAAATAACTATGCGATGCCTTTTGCTATGAATTTTGTGAGTTGATTATCTCTGTCCATTTTGGAGACAGATTTATATGTAGTTTTTTCAAATTTTGAATTATGACATTTTCTATCTTTAACCATGGAAGGAAGGATTAGTGAATATAAATCATACTGAGGACCCCCATTCTCAATTGTTCCATCTATTACATAAAAGCATACATCACATGGAATATTTCCTGTCTGGTCAATGTATATTTTTAAGTGTTCATGAAGTTGTGCTTTTTGGGAATTGATTCTTTTGATCATCATTTGGTCTTCTCTATCTGCATGTTCCACTGTATCGTTCTCGTGTCTTGAAGATTCCAAGCTTTCTTTTTCTAAGTAATTGCTTCTTCTGCAGCTTACTACCGTGGAGCAATGGGCATATTGCTAGTGTACGATGTGACTGATGAATCGTCCTTTAACAGTAATTACTCCACATTCTTACCATCCTTTTTTATTGATGTATAATTATCCTCCATTCATTGGCCCAGTAGAGGACTCTTTGAATTGAATCCTTGAATTTTTACTTCCCTTAATTGTCACTAATTTTTGTTATTACATATTGAGTTTTCAATTTCATGACCAACTTCTTGTGATGTAATATGTTCTATCTTGTCAAAAGACCCAAAATTGACTTCTGCTTTTGTTTAGACATTAGGAATTGGATCCGAAACATTGAACAACATGCTTCTGACAATGTCAACAAGATATTGGTGGGTAACAAGGCTGACATGGATGAAAGCAAAAGGGTAAGCTCGCGCTCTCTCTCTCTCTCTCTCTATCTTACAGACACTGTTTGTGCATATATGTCGGCATGCATCTTTGATGGTTAGCATGGGTGTATGCATGTGCGATTCTTGGAGTATTCTTCTGGTAGGCAATATCTAGTGGCCTAGAAGAGCTCAATCAAATCTGAATTTAATGAGCATTATTTCATTCAATAGATTTTGAAAAATTCCAAGCATTAAAACAATAGGTGAAAAGTGACGGACAGGCATATAAGGATGTCATGGCAGAATGATTAACCAGACAGATGCATATCATTTCCGTGCATCTTTTCAGGGGTGTGTCCATATGTGGGACTTCGGTGCATTGCTCTGACTGGGGATATCTAGAACTCAAAGAACTTGGAATTTGGCAACAATTGTTTCATGCAAATCAAATTATACTCATCTGACGGATTTGAAAATTCCAAGCATTGGAAAAGGCAGGTTAAAGTGATGGAAAGGCATATAAGGATGCCTTTCCAGGTAGGTTAGCCAGTCACATGCATATAATTTAAGGGTTTTGCTATGTGTACACTGGGTTTTACACCCCCAGTGTACCACCCCGCACTCCCTCACAATAGAGGGGCCTGCGACTTTTTTCAATAGATTTTGAAAAATTCCAAGCATTAAAACAATAGGTTTTTTTTTGGCCCCCCCCCCCCCCCCCCTTCCGGTGAGGGGACTGTACACCGGGTGTCAAACCTGGTGTGCAAAACCCATAATTTAATTGTTTTCTAATGTGCATACATTAGCTTGTTTTTGCAATTCCAGATTGATCTGACCCCACTTTCTTCTATTCTCTCATCTACAGGCGGTTCCTACCTCCAGGGGTCAAGCACTGGCTGATGAGTATGGAATTAAATTCTTCGAGACGGTAAGTAGTTCTTGTTGCTGATTTTGGAATTGCATACAGAAGAATTCTCCATAATACTGTTATGTAAAACAGAGTGCAAAGACAAATATGAACGTGGAAGAGGTTTTCTTCTCGATAGCCAGGGATATAAAGAAAAGACTTGCTGAAACTGACTCAAAGGCTGAGGTCTCGAGTGCTTTTTTTTCCCTTTTGGGAATGTCTTTTCTTGTTTGTGCATAATCTTGGGTCTGATCTATCCGTTTTTGGGTAATTGCAGCCTCAAACCATTAGGATTACCCAACCGGACCAGACAGCAGGGGCGGCTCAAGCTGCCCAAAAATCAGCATGCTGTGGTTCTTGAGAGAGTGCATTGGAAATAGGATGACCAGATACGTCCTTAAATTGACCTTTTGAGGGAGGAACTAGTTTTGTTATGACAACATCGGTGTTGCTCCTACTGTCATCCCTCTCATTATTTATGGTTGATTCACAATTGTGTTTTGGTGGCAGATCGTTCTTATGAATGTTTTATTGGGTTTGACTCTGTTTTAACTTTTGGTTAAATGATTTCTGTTTCTTTTCTAGTGTAAAGTTCAATACAAGTGAACCAGAAAGTGGAGAACTAGTTTGAAGTTGTAAACACCATCTCTTTATCTTGTTTGAACAATTTTGAGGTGTTGCATTATCTACTCTGCCCCCACACCCCACCTTGCTCCCCCAGTTTTCATCCCCAGAATCGATTTAAGCAGTTGGATTTTGCTTTAACCGTTTTTGAATATCTTTATCGACACTTCCATAGACATCACCATGAGCCATATATTTTTTGATGAATTGCACTGAAACTGTATCATGGAAAAGTGTAATCTAATGTTTGCACTTATTTTGCATCACTGTTACATTTTGCAGTGAGGGGGCAAGGGGGTGGAGGGGGTGTAATTATTATTGCATGCAACTTTTCCATCAATCTCCCTTTTGGGATGATGGGTTAATTCCCAGAATGCCCTGTTCCACTTCTCGTATTGGAAATTTTCACACCTTATTTCAACTTTAAAGTAAGTTCATGTGATACTTTAATCAACAAAATTTCGACTTATATTGGCGCATGGTTGAGTATTCCTCTATCATACGCGGGAGAGCGGAACTTGTGCAAACCATTCTACAAGGAGAATGTGGCTATCTATCTTCCCCATGCCGGCAATGGTTGCTTCTAAAATCATTAGTTTGTGCCGTAAGTTGCAATGGGGGTTCAAAAAACCATTGACGGCTTGGAATCACAACTGTTGCCAAGGCATGAAGGTAGGCTTGGTTTTAGAAACATTAGAAGTTGGAATGTTGCTCTACTTTCCAAAACACTTTGGAACATCCACAATAAAAAGAATTCTCTTAGGATAAAAATGGGTGAATCTGGTCCATCTTTGCAGTAATGACATTTGGGAATATATGATGATGAAAAATGACTCTCCATTACTTTAAAAAGTGATGGAAATCAGGGACAAAATTATTGAGCAAAGGGGCACGGTCCAGGTAGCTGCTAACCAGTTATACAGCTGGACACAGGAGGGCAAATTTCGCACAATGGCTGCTTATGAGTTCTTTAGATCGAAGGGTGTTAGGGCTGGTCGGGCACCTACTGTTTGGAATGGTTCTATCACTCCAAAGCATGAATTTATCCTTCGACTAGGAGCTTAGGCCAAATTGCAAATGAAAAACAGATTATGGCACTTAGACTTGGATCGAAAGTGCTCTTTTTGTTGGCAAACCGAGGAGGCAGCATGACACATTTTTTTCTTGTCCGGTCAGCAAAGCTATTTGGGAACAAGTTCGTTGTTGGTTGGCTATTAGACACAACATATCAACCTTGTTGAGTTCGTTGAAATGGATTAGAAAAGAAGGTCGAGGAACAAGTTGGCAAAGTAAAGCTAAGTGTATAGCACTTGCTACCACTGTGTACTATACTTGGACAGCTAGGAATAGAAACATTTTTGAAAATCTTAGGCCAGAAGTAGATTCTATTGTGAGAAGGAATAAAAAACACATATACAAAGCTATGTTTACTTTGTATTCAAACGTTTTCATCAAGTTTGAATCTTTAGTTATGCGTTATTAGACAATTGTTAGTACATCTTTATTTTTGGTTATTTAGGTGTGTCTGGTGTATATGTATTCTCACTCGATCTTGGATTGCTTGGGTATGTCCGATGTACTTGTAAATGAATTTTGATCTATAAAATTTTTCATTTACCGATCAAGAAAAATTCACATCTTATTTGACAGATGAGCACATGGCATAGTCATTAGCTTGTTTAAAAAAGAAAACAGTTTTTGACAGTTTTTTCATCAATCAAAATCTGCCAACTGAGATTTGTCGAAGTGGTGTCAGTATTTTTCTGTACGAATGACATTACTCTCCATTATAAAGATCAAAGTATAGTGCCTTAAAATTACACCTTGAAAGTTGAAACCTGTCTCTGCGTGTCTTTCTTTGAATGGATAAATATCAATGATTCAACCTGTCAACAAGTTTAGAAGTCTCATATTTCGAAGAGAAAAAAAGGTTTAATAGTCTTAATAGAAAATTTGACTTCCTTGTCAAAGTGGTAGGTAAAGTGATTTTTAGCTAATGTCACATAAGCACTATTGCTTCGTCAGCCACCGTCTTGCCATCGAAGGTGAAAGTTTTGTGTCGCCTCACCTACCTTTGAGGCGTTAGAAGCGTAGCCCAACGCTTTGTATTTTCCTGTGATGCACGGAACTCTTAGCTGGGTTGTTGCATCGCCGCAGTGGGGCGATTTAGAGGAACCCAACCTTTGTGCGCACCATGCGGGTCTCTTTTTAGTTGAGGTCCAACACTCCAAGTTCTAATGTTATGTGCAAGTCGCAATCTCTCACATCTTAAGCAATACGTGATTTAATTGACGTGACATTTATAAAGGTATTTTGCAAGCAAATTTCGACTAATCCGCCTAAAATGGGGTTTAGGAGATCACATGCCTATGATAGTAGAAAAAGCTATTTGTACTCTTGGACTAACAAGTTGGTTGACACGCTTATGTGGAAGGCAGAATAAAGAAAATAGAAAAAACATAAAAACTGGGCCGGTTTCTTCAATTGGCGGACGGGTCCCATTTAAAAATACCAAATAGGTTCAAACTGGCACGTAGATCCCCTTTTTAATTTTGCCCGCAAAAGGGTGCGGTTAGTTTTCATTTCATTTTCTATTTTCATTTTCAAAACGATTTTTAAGTTTTTCTGAAAATGGCGCGTTTTTCGCGTTTTGAGCATTTTCGACATTTATAACTGAAAATGCTGAAAACGCTAAAAAGTCATTTTGCGTTTTCAGTTATAAATTTTAACTCGTTTTCGAAAACGAAGGACCAAACGCGTTTTCCGCGTTTTCGAAAACGAAAAACAGAAAATGGGCCGAAAACGGCAAACCAACCACGGCCTAATTTTTGCTTTGCCTACGATTTTTCTCAGTCGCACCCATATTTTCTTCCCAATGAATTGTAGATTTCTTCGCTGATTTGTAGCAGAAATCGGGCATTTTGTTACAGAAACCGGGGGCATTGCTTCGCTGATTTCTCTCGATTTCTCTTCGTCACGGCGTTGCTTGAGGTACCCAATACGGGGGTTAATTTCGAAAGCAAACAGGAAGGCAAAATCTGGTTAGATTCGAAGAGATGACGGACAAAGTTATTCCCCTTCCTCATTTGAGTTTGATTTCTCTTGATTCCTCTTTGAGTCGTTATTGTCATGTAGCAAACATAAGATTGTTCCTGATAGTTTACACAATTTCAAAGTTTGATTGTCAATAAGTTGTTAAACATAATTTTGACGTTCTGTGGGTGGAAAGTTTAACCCATATATTATGTAGTTCAACCTTCTCTTTGTGGTATGTGAGTTAGCTCAGAGATCCACCATTGGCCATTGGAATGTAAACAAATAGCCACTCGAGGTAACTTGAATTGTGTCCCAGCCTATGGATTAGTGTACATTTTTCACACAAGTAGATGTGCTAATGAATGATCTTTGACCTTTCGAACCAAAAGATGACGGAAAAAGTGATTAATAAAACTCCTAATTTTGGTATCGTTTGTCCAATTTGATACAGTTTTGGACCCTAGAAACTGCATCAAAATCGGGTGTTTTGGGCTCAAATGTTTAGGACCATCTTAAATGATCTTTGGGTTGAATAAACATGTCCTAGATTCTACACCCTTACTTAGTGAAATGATGGAAGTCTGGTATATAAAAAAATGCTAGACCTAGTCATACTAATTTGCAGCAAGCAATGTTCGAGTACTTGTGTTCCAAGGATGAATTATATGCAGGTACTTGTGTTCGTTATAATTTTTCCTTTTTTGTGGCAGCGAAAGAAATTTCGGAAGAGGTGAAGAATGATATCTTGTTAGAATCAGATAACAACAATATGTTGGAAAGTGTTAACTTAGTGGATGATGGAACTGCAGGATTAGATTGTATGATTGTGCCCAAGGTAGGTATGAAGCTCGATGATGAAAAAGAAATGTTTGATTTTTACAAAAGATATGCGTACAACGTGGGCTTCCCGGTTAGGAAAAGAAACTCGCAAAAGGATGATGACGGAATTGTGAGATATGTTGTGTTTACATGTAGCCGTGATGGTCGAAGGAGTAGTACCACAAGCGGTTCTATGAAGCCGCAAACTACCATTCAAACAGGTTGTAAAGCTAGGCTGATTGCACCTGTAGATGCATGCGGAGTATGGAGAATTAATATAGCCAATCTCATTCACAATCATAAAACCAACCCTTCAAAGTCCAGGTTATATCGTTGCAAACCGAGAATTGAGTGCCCATGTCAAACTACAGCTTGAAGTGAACGACATGGCAGGGATTCCGTTGCATAAAAGTTATAACTCTACAATTGTAGAAGTAGGGGGTGTGAGAATATGACTTGTATCGAAGAGGATTGTTGAAATTAAGTTGAATAGGTGAGGCGGTTAAGATTTGGAGAAGGAGATGCCGCAGCGATACATGTTTACTTTTCGAACATGCAAGCAAAGTGCTCAAGTTTTTTCTTTATTATGGATTTAGACGAAGAGTCGCGGTTGAGGAATATTTTCTGGATAGATAATAAGAGTAGGCAAGCATATAAGGAGTTTGTGGACATGGTAACATTCGATACCACGTACTTAACTAATAAGTATGACATGCCATTTGCGCCGTTTGTTGGAGTTAATCATCATGGACAATCAACACTCCTTGATTTTGCAAGAAAGTGCATAGTAGTAGTAATTATTTGTCTCTTATGCAAGGCTATCCAACTTCAGTCAAGGAAAGGAGAACTAAGGCAGGCCCAAGTCCACTAGAAGAAGTTGAATCGGTCCGATACTCCATGTAGCAACCAGTCTCATATTCACAACGTCTGATGGTTCGTCTCTTTCCATTGATCACTGAATATGATTTGCACTTTTCGATTACATCATGATATGGTGCAGGGTGCCGGTGAAAGTTATGCATTTACACAACAACAAACGACTCCCAATTTTATCCAATTGGATTGGACAAATGATATGTTGTATGGTGAGGGTAATTATATGGTTGAACTTCCGCAATGTTTTTTAAGTCATACTTCGTTTGCGTAATAACCTTTTCTACTTCACAGCTGGACAAGCAATGCCTAATTACATTCCAAATGTACCTCTCTGGCATGGACCGAACTTTTGATGTTATACGAAGAAGAATGATGGACAGCTATTCACAAGTTAATTAGAAAATGGAGATGGGTTGTGTATTTATGTTCTCCACTTCATCTTGCTCTATTTTTCCTCTTAATCTTTTAAAAGTCGTAGCATATTGTTTTCCCAAAACTAAATGAGATTGTGAGTTATTAATTAATAATTTATTTGTCAGTTTGTGTACTGCAGCTTTGTTCTTAATTTGAGGGTTGGAATCTTAATTTTGCTTCTACTTTAACCAAGTATTTGTAATGTGTCTAAGCTAAATTTTTTTGATGTCTTTCTTGCTTAATTAATTAGGCTCTTATTCGATTGATGATGGGAAGGTTGAAGGATAAATGTAGAACTCTTTTTTGGTGTAAGAGGTGAACATGCGTTTAGAACTTTTTTGCTCACTTGACTTCTTTTAATTGCGCAGAATATGTCCAGCAGAAGACTAGATGCAGTCAGTGCAGTAACACCATGGCTAGAGGAGTGCTTTTGGTGTGGCACCTATGGACTTATCATCATCACCATGGCTGGAGCATGAATACATTTTGTGTTGTTTTATGGAAATGTAATACAGTGAACCAAGTTGCAATATTGGATTTCTAGTTTTATGGACCGAACGTTGTGAACATGTTTTAATGCTGTACAAGCAGTGAACAAAATTTATGGACCGAATGTTGTGAACATGTTTTAATGTTGTACAAGTAGTGAACAAATTTTTAAATAATTAAATTTCCTAGAGTTAGTGGACGAAGAACAGCAAAGCATGATTTATGACATTTTTGATATGGTAGAGTGTACACTATTGAACCTGGTAGGAAAGAAAAAGATGTCCAAAGCTCATCGATTATTCTATGCAATATAGTGTAGAGTATATTACCATCTACTACAAGGTTCCATTCTCACTGATTATTGTTGGGCATGGGGCAGGATTTACCAAAACCCAGCCATTTCAAGGGCTATAGCACTTGAATCTATGGCTATAGCACTTAACACAATGAAAAACACAAATTGTAGTCCACTACTGTTAACACCAACATCTTTAACATAGCGATTCAAATATCAAAAGCGAATATATTACAATGGCTTGTTCGGTTCACCAACGGCACATATTACACATGAACTACTAATAACACAACACATTTTGTTGGCCCCTTCCCTTTCATAAGAAAATATAACCACTACTCATGTTGGCCCCTTTCCTTTCACATCAACTCCCACACTTTCATTGGCCTTCCTTATAGTCACGTTCAAAGAAATCTCAATGTCTCGTTCCTCGGACACCACGTGACAAGGAGATTGGAACATGCGAGAGAACTGCTGAACTTGGTCGAGTGATGCATGATTATTCGAGTTAAAGGTAACATCACTTGATCCACAGCTTGATTCTCCCTCATCGACCCATGCCCAATATTTACAGTTAGCACTGCAGCAGTTGAACAGTCTTCCCTTATTCTTCGTCTCCCTCTCGATGTCGAAGCACTTCATAAATCCACTTTTACACAAGGGCATCACCTTTTATTTGGGCAATCCGCAAACAAGTGGCCCTTTTCTCTACAGCTATGACAAAGACCGGCGTTCTTTCCTGGCATGCTATACACAAACGACACACAGATTACACTACATTAAACAATTAAACAACATTTTTAACAAAATCCCCTTG